TTCCTGCCAAAAGTTTGACATTTTGCAAATGATATCATGAAGCAGAACTAAACAGACAGAAATGACTTTTTAAAGAGGTGTTCCTACACTCTGACTCAAATCTGATCTGTGGAGCCGATCGTCGCCCTAACCCACTCAGCTCAAAAGACGTTTTCAAAGTGGGTGTGAAATTGCAATGCACTGCTGTCTGCAAATGTCTTTTTTGATTCAACCACTAGAAGTCGCCAAAGTCAGAAGCATTCAAATCCAACAGAGGAGGGCATTAAGTTCAGAAAATTGCTTCCATACTTAAATTTTGTCTTGACTTTTAACAGATAAACCTGAACCCATGTACTGTCTCTAAACATGCCTAATACTACCGTATACTAATGATATGAATGTTAAGTCTGTGGTCTTGTCGGGATAACATGCCATTATAATAAAATTCAAAAACACATTACACATACATGCACAAACAGTGACATGTCAGGTATGATAAATTCAGCTCTAGTGGCATGCTAAACAATAACCCTGATGACAATCCTTCTAGTTTAATGTGTAATCCCTTCAGCCAGGGGTTAACAAAAGACAAAAATTCCTTCCAGTAAATCCCAGAAGACCTACTTTGTACTTTAATGATGTGCTTTCATCTCCTCAGACCATACAAAGCACCGGAAAAACATCCCCCATGCTGTTCAATGTGTGAGCGTGTGTGCGGGTTTGTGTGTTTGGGAGAGAGAGTGAAAAAAACGTGTTTGCTTCCCAGCATGCACGGACATGGCTCTTCTTTGGAAGAAGCCTATGAGTTATGAATGAGACAAAACACTCAAACCAGATTCCAAAAAACAAATGAGGGAAGTAAACACAGGAGAATGTAGCCCCCACCACCACCACAGCTAAAAAACTCTTCGAGTGAAGGAAATAGGCTTTGAACCGTCTTCTCCCTGTACCAGTTTTATGAATGAGTTCAGACTAAAGGCATGTCCTTTATATAAACTCAATGAAAACAGGGTTAGCACTTTCCCCTTCTGTCATATATTGATCCGATGAATAACTGGGTCTGGAAATAAAATGCCTTTGAATACAAAGTTGACTCTCATGCCAGCACAGCAGAAGGCCTGTGAGAAAGGCACACATTTAAACAATAGATCCCAGATAAGATTACTGAAGCTTGATACAGGGCGTCATCACAGGAGACAAATGACGATCTTGATAATATGGTCCTCTGTGGTAAAGTAAACGGCACCTGGCTTCACTCTTTTATTACTACATACTATTAACACACAGGAATGTATAGCGTACATGTAGGCAGCCTCTGGTCTGCCAGTACACTGGAGCGGCCACACAACTTGAGAGAATGAGCACTGTTTGGTCAGCCTGCTCGACTACTCTAGCTATCGGCCTTCCTTGCTTTAATGAAGCCTGGCTTTACTACCACCAGACTTCTCCAATAAACTGCCTAATAAATAGCACAACAATGCAGTCTCTGCAGTGAGAGCAGCAGTGCTCATGTTGTCTGCGATCAATTCTGTTTTAAGGCAGCAGCGGCAGCAACTGATGGCCCATTTGCCCTGGCTGACACACTCCCTGTGGAGCCTGGTAGACTGCTTATGCATCTTCACGGGGTCTTTCTCCACCTCTTCTATATTTAGTCTGCTTAAACTGACTTAACAAAACATGTCAACCTCTCAAATAGGAAGTGCCAAAAGAACACAAACACACAAGTCATGCCTATAAGTGTCTCATCTGCCCAGTTAATCAGGTTCTCAAATATTGCCGCGGACGAACTGCAACCCAGAGGCACCGGGGACAGTGTGGTGAAATTATCTGGACCTTCATGTCTTGGGATAGCGGTAATTTAAATGAAAAAAAAAAAAAGACAGACTTTTCACCCAGACACCACTTTAGCTGTGCTGGCACCAGTTAGTCAAGAGCATAACAGAGCAGAGGTCTGTGTGTGTACTTATGAGTTCAGCTCTGACATCATACTGCTGCAAACAAGAGGAATGTGGCCCCAGCACCAGTGCTTGCTGTAGTGTTAACAGTGGTTTTAGCAGCAGCAGTTGTAGTCTTTGTGGGAGAAATAGTAGCTGTAGTAGCAGCAAGAGATGGCTTAGCAGTTGAGGCACCAGTGCTAGCAGCTTTCACAGTAGCACTGGTCAAAGAAGCAAGGCGTTCACAAGTAGTTGTTGGACATTTCAAAATAATATCCAAGTCTACGTCAAGTCTTTCACCATTCTCTGGCCCATGAAAAACAACCTACTGTAGTCTCAACATAGTGGAAAGTGGAGGCCTTTTATCAGGAGAAACTTCATTGTTTCTGTGTAGTATAACACTTGACCTCCTTACCACTGAATCTCAGTGCAACATAAGACAAAAAAAAGTGTCCTTCCTGAATGCGAAGACACAACTAGACAGACAGCTTGTGGTGGGTAAGCCATTATCCATATGATGATTATTTAAAGGACCTGCACTGATATTGTATCCTATTAGATGAGGCGTCTCATCTTTTTTCCTTGTTGACCAATTCAAACAAGGGGGTTAACTGGTTTTTTCACTGCCAATATAATTACAGATACAGAAAATTAGCAGTCAAGGAGACCAATAACCAATATCTGTAACTGATTTACATTGGAAGTAAAAATTCCAATATTAAAGTGAAAATTTACCAAAAGTCTAGATCCAACACAAACCTTGTTAAGATGCCTATGTTTTTGTTTTACATATGTTTAATTAAAAGAGAACTTTTCAACATTTATCCTTTAGTATTGATAAGCTATTACTCATGATCACTGAGACCAATCAGATCGTGCAGTGGGTGGGACACTGCTCAAGAAAACGAAGTGGTGATCACAGATAGAGAGATTCGGCTGCATCAGTTTAACACATTTTTAAAGCAATTTATTTCATTAGAAATTAGTAAGAAAAAAAATGGAACAAATATTCCCAAAAATTCTGAATATTGGATCCGATAATTGGGCAAACTGATAATCAGTTGACCCCTAATGCAAACAGAGGAGAGGTCTCGAGATTTGATTGTGGACTGTTTATTTCCCTCACGCAAGAGAAATGATAAACAGTGTGAGTTCTTCTCCTCCACCTGACACCCCCTCCATCCATCCATCCATCCATCCAGCACGTCCTCCTCAAACATATTCCACCTCCTGATTTCTTTCCCAGCATGCCCACACTCTGTCACTCCAACAACCGACAAAGCAGGCCAGGCGCATGTGTGTCTGTCAGACATATTTGCATCTCTGTAATTTGCCTGTTTGCGTGCCTGCATCTGTCTGTGCTGCGAACGTGTTTGATGATAATGACCGCATGTGTGTACAGACATGCATGCAGTCCAGGCCAGTCCTGCGACAGTTCCATGTCACAAGACTGAAAACATAAACATGCTGAGTCTGCAGCAAGGCGCCAGTCACCAGGGAAACAATTCAGCCAGACACACACACACTCACACTCAGTCAGCCAAAACACATCGTCTGAAAAGCAACAGCAAAACAAGCCATCTAAAACGCTGCAGTCGTAAACACAAAATTAAAGGCCGCATTCACACTCATCGTACTCGGAGCGGTTTAATTAAACTCTGGAGCATTTAGTCCTTTGACTCGGTTTGTTTAGGTAGGGTAGAACAATTGAACTAAACTGCAACGAGACACCTGAATATGTGAGCTACTACCTCTTCTTCTGAGAGAAAACCGTATTACTATACATAACCACCTGAAAATGCATATGGTAAACAGACATCTGACAGACAGCAGTTGTTTAGCGTCAGAAAACCTTACACAACAAAGACATGGGCTGAGAAAATTGCAGCCACAACTGATACCTCTGTTTAGCTCTTTCTTCATGTGTCCTTAATTTGGATAAACACCTGAGATGTATTAAAGCAAAGATGTGCAGTCAGTCATGCATAACATCCCCAAGGCTTTCCTCCTTCCTCACAGTCAAAACACAACAGTTAAAGCAGTTAAAGTGACAGCAGGTAGGGGTGGGCAATCTTGCCAAAAGATCATGTGACCATCTTTTGGGGCAGAATCACGACAATCTTCCCCACTCATGAACTCATGTGATCACTGATAAGTTGTGCATATGGTTGCCTGGATGCAAACAGTATCCTTTCAACTGTGTGTCCTGTTTTTGCTCTGATTCTGTCCTAAAGCGCTGAACTGAAAGTGGTGGTTCGTATCTCAGCCACTTTGATGCTTCTTTCAGGATGCTGATCTGCTCCCCACTATTGCTTGCCCACCATTCTGTCTTCTGTTTACATATCAAGTTACATCTCAAATTAAATAATAGTAATTATTCATTATTCAAAGGTGCTACATGTATGTATGTTATTTTGAAGGTTCAGTCACTGCTATGGCTCATCTCATCAGGCATTTCTCTACCTGCAGGACGGTCGCTGTTGAGGTGGTTCTTGATGTCAATCAGCTGCTTTTCCAATCTGTCTTTTCTTCCCAGTGTCTTGGACTACAGCTGGTGACAGTAGGTTTTCTTCTGCTCTCTAAAAGATCTACTGCAAATTGGAGGGCCACTGCAGCAGGTGGAGAACTGGTTCATGTGCGGCTACACCAAGCTCACCCCGGCTACAGAGCAGCCATAAAGTTCACCTGTGATGAGATAGCTGACTACTGTCACCAGCTGCAATCCAAGATGGTGGAGTCAATCCATGTGATGAGAGACTCACTGGAGAAGCAGCTGAATGACATTAAGGATGGCCAGAACAGCTACCTGTCAAGCTTGCAAGTAGGGAAACACAAGACAGGACGGGGCGGACTAGCTAGTAAGCAGCTACTGAACTTTGAAAATAATCTGTACGATTCCTCTGAAAAGCACATCACATGCCAAATTAACATCATCCATGCATAAGATCATCAGATCTCACCCCGATCGTAACAACTGCAGATTCATGCATTAAACTCCCAAATTCACATCTACACAAATCAGGCCAAAGTTTGATCTCTTTGCAGTTCAAATCCCTGATGACTCATCATGTGTGATGTTCAGCTTACCTTTCTGGCAATAATTGGAATTCCAGCAGCGGTAGTTGTAGTCGTTGTTGAACATGGTCTTTCTGCACTGAGGGTTGTTCTCCATGATGCCTGGACAAACATCACTGCACTCCTTGGACTGTTTGTTCCCAGCGATGTAATTGTTGAACTCTGCGTCCATGATAAGGGACCAGTCTATGGAGTCCAGGTAGCAGAGCTCGGGGTTCTTCTCAATACGAATGGAACCACGGGTGATGTTCCTCAGGTTGTACAGGCCGATGTCCTTCAGACTGGTCATCTCAAAGATCACCAGGGCGTAGTTGTAGAAGAGGTTACGACCGCGGATGACGGTGAGGTTGGGAAAGAGCGTGCTCAGACTGTCTAGCCCAGACACCCGGAATAGCAGCAGGTAGTCAGTGATCATTGTCAACTTGGGGAAGCTGAGGGAGCGGAAGACTTCCTGGTTGATGTTGTTGTTGTTTTTATCACCAATGAGGAGGATCTGCAAGTAGCCCTCCACCACTGTGCAGTTCTCCAGACGCCTGAATTCACTGATGTCGTTGCCAATGTCTATGCTGGGACCACAAACTGCAGGGAGGGAAACAAAAAGAGAGTGAGAGGTCATCATCCATTACAGTCAAAAGTCACAGAAATATTCAGTAATACGCACTTCACTTTAGTCACTTTATCCACAGGAATTCCTTTGCTGTATCCTTTTATGTGATCAGGACAAATGACTATTTCATCATCACAATATGAGTTCTTGACTAAATCAAACAGTCCTGAATATTCTTTAGAAGCGAAGCAACAAAACAATTCTTACAAATGATGTGGATGTTACATAATTTATTGACCCATTCTTTGCAAAATGTTACAAAACACAAAACAATGTACTCCATTCCCGAAATACTTATAAAGAGATGTTTATCCAATACATTTTTTTTAAATATTGACAGTACACTTGAGCAGCGTTTTTGTTGACAGAATCTGTTTGCCTTGCAGTTCTTATTTTCAATGGGAAGTTAGGATGGTGTGACAAAGTAAATACTTGACTCAGATTCGTTTCAATCTCAGGTTAACAGCACAATAAAGTTTTCATTGCTCTGTCTATTCACCTTAGTTTTTTTTCTAACTGTTTGCTTTTGTCAAGCTTTTATGACACAACATCAGAGAGCTAGACACTATTCTATTATCAAAGACATCATCCACAAAAGTTCAGTTGGTCAAATACAGTGTATGTGATAAAAGAACTTGTCAAACAAACACTTAATTATTGATGAAGGACTTTAACAAGTACTATGGCAACATCATGTTTATAGAATGACTCTACAGCCACAGGTGGTGTTGCCATGCTCCCTGCTAAACACTCATATCACTTTGGGCTTTGTGGTATTAGCAGATGTCAGCATACAAAGGGCTCTAAGAATTATATTTTGAACATGGCAACTAAGCTCAAAGTACAGCTGAAACTGTTTTTAGTTTTGCAAGTATTTAGTCATAAACCAAATTATTAGACAAATAGAATTTGGACATGTTGGTGAGGTTTAATTAAAAGTTCAAACATCCCCAATTATTACAATTAATCTATCAATCTGTGTACTAAATTTCATGACAACCCATCCAACAGTTGTCAAGATATGACTGACAATATTTAAATCCCTTGGTCTTTGGTAATCGCAGCTTTGTTTACTGAAGCACAACAGACTTTTTTTTGTTTATCAAATGGTCCGATCAGGAAAATATCGACATCTATCAAATAGGTAACACAGACTGCCTTTACTGTTACTGCTGCTTACTGTTGTGTATAATCACCCTCAAAATACCAGTGAGAAAGCAAAAACCCTGCATCCAGGCCCTTGGATCTTTAACAGGTCAGAGTTTTGACATCAGACTCGACCACAGCGATGTACTGATCAACAGACATAACAGCACTGCCATCAGTGGAGCCACGCTGACCGACACTCATAACTACCATCACAACATACCACCTCACAGTTGTATTCCTCCACCAACCACTTAAGTTGCTGTTTATATCCTTGCCTGTCCAGACTCAATCTATACAGAGAGATCACTTAAAAGTGTGTAGGTTTATTGAGAGAAACCAAAAACAGAATCCTATCCCTTGTATATTATGTTCACATGTATTCCGATAGAACACAAAGTTGTAGCCACAACAGTTGACAACACTTCAAATACAGATATTGCTGCAACAAAGCAAAAAAATTCTAAAACATGGAAACTTCACACGCACCTTCAATTCATCGGCACAAAAGATCTATACAAAGAGCACATCTTCACGGTGTCATTAGTGTCATCACTTCAGTATCTGACCAAATGTGAAATATGGCTATAAACATATATGTGTTTTTTTTTAAGTTAAGGCCAAAGTGACTTTTGACCTTTGACCACCAAAACTATTTCATCCTCCAGTCTGAGTAAACAACTGTACCACATTTTAAGAAATTTCCCTCCAAGTGTCTTTTTCATTATGTTTACGAGAATGGGACGGACAGATGGACAACCCAAGAACATAATGCCTCCAGCCCCGGCCATCGCTGGCATTACGCGACACATACAGGCATAAAAACAGTTGTAGTTGTAACTATAATGTAGCCCCCCCCACCTGAACTAGTCTTTAGTCATACCATGACCTAGTGTACTGAAGAATTTGCCTAGGGCAGAAGTGAAATGTCTGAGCCTCCGATCAAAGAACAGACAACAAAGGACATTTGTCTTCCCTTTGAAGTGAACAAATTGCAAAAACATGTATTTACAGACTTTCATGTTCACTGTAAAATAGATTTGTTCACATTTGTCTTCTTTCTAACCTGTTGGCAAGTGCGTTCTTTACGGAGACAGAGTCACAACACTGTTTTATTTAGACAAAGAAATATTGTAAACCAAACAACTACAAAGTGAAGTATTAAAAAAAAGGCACTGAGCTGGATTCTGTGTAGCATCTGACTAATCTGACCCCTCATCAGGAAAAGTTTGGTAAGGCATGATGGTGATGATCGGTGATGATAGGTGGAGTGTTTGCCTTTCCAACTTTTACTCCCACCTGGGTGATGTGCTCTAAACAATACTTAGCTGAAGCCCCAGCATCACCCACAGAAACTTGGAGGCCATTATCGCACATCACTGTGAGGAGGATTTATACTTCAAAAGCTGGAGGGCAGTGAGTCATGGAAAACTCACACCAACCAGCTAACAGGTTGTCACACAACGACTTTAATGCTGGTCTATAAAGTTTTACTGTATGAATGTGGCACAGAGAGGGAAGGATGATACATTCCCAGCAAAGAAATATGTTGATTTTCTAATTATGACATTTTATAATTGAAGAATATAGCTGGTGTTGTGGTTTGAGAGTGTAAATAAATGTTTGTTTGTTTTTTAAATCAAGGAATTTCTCTAAAAGCAAAATCTTTAGCTGTACACAAAGCACTGTTTCTTTTTCATTCTCTCTCCCAGGTTCTTACAAATTACAATAAGTATGTTTTAGTATCGCAACAAGTAGAAAGACTAACTGTGCTCTACAAACTGATGTTGACCGTAAATACATAAAGGCAGTAAATGTCACATTACAAAATGTGATGAGATCAGTTATGGACAGTACAGCTGTTACAAAAATGTTGAAATACTCAAAACATCTGTGGTGTTCAGAAACCACAGTCATGAAGTATTTTGGACCAGAACTTCCAAACATGCATTGAAATGTAAAATAGTTGTTGCTTTTAACAATTTGTTGATGAAGTTGTGTATTTTTTTCACTGATACGTGACAAATTTCTTTGAGTCGTGTAACTTTTTGGCTCCAAAGAGGTTAAAATCATTGTGCAACTCCAGTATAAAACAAACTGCAGGCAAGTGATAAAACAAACACGAGTAGGAGAGTGGTGAATCTCTACGACACGACTAAACCACTTGTTGATAATATGGGTCATATTCCTGCTAACTTTCAGAAACTTTGCGAGTTTCCATTCGGAAATTGAAGAATGTTTTTGCCATTTTTGGTAAAACACTGTACTTGTGTCAGTGACCAGGTCTGCTAACATGACACCAGAAACACACAGCTGTGCAGTGGCAGCAAAGTTCAAAAAAGAGTAACTTTCCGTTGTCTATGTTCCACCAACACAAAGGTAGAAGTCACACTAGCATCTCCTGGATATAGAACATGAAACAACATTTGAAGGTGAAAGGGTCTGCTGACTTCTGTGAACTTCAATTCATTAAAAACCTATAAATAACTTGCACCCAAATATTAAATAAGATGATATATTTAAAGCACAAGTTAATCAGAATTTGATTTGTGAAGTGTTAACCTGATAAGGAAATAAAATCTAATCTTCATTCCATTCCATTTGGTGCTCTAACTGGGGATATTTCGGTTCTCACATACAAAGAAAATGAGGGTTATGAGCAGCAGCATTTTCAACCAAAAATGCTGAGAGTTTAAGTCGTCTCTAGACAGGCCATGAGAGCCTTTGGTGTGATTTAAGGCAGGATGTGTGCTGGTATGGTGGTTATGTCCTTCTCTGTAATCTACTTGTCAGCGCACACTGTCAGCAGCCCTCAGCGAGCTGCATACCTGTTAATACACTCCCAACACCCAGGCCTGTAAAAAGACACACTGCCTAGTGACGTTACATCACCGCGGCCTCGATGCTTCACCCTTTGTGGCCTCACTGCAGTGCCTGCATGGCCATCTTTCATGGGAACTGCTCCTGACCATGCTCGTGAAAACACTAAACAAAAGTTTCTGGTCAAAATGTACATCTTGTGCAGCAGTTAAGTGAAAACACCAATAGCAGGTGTAGCAGCTTAATAACTCCCCCTCCCTCTCCTTCCACACTGACACATTTTAAACAGCTGAGTACACAAGCCTATCTCTGCAGCTTTGATGAGCCTCCAGATCACATATTTACTTTTGATAACCTTTTCCTAGCTGGCTGCAGCAGCCAGACTGTCCACAGACAATCAGAGGAAATCCACTTGAAGCTCCATAAGACAAGAAATAGGAAGCAATATGCCCTCTAAGCTGGTGCTTCATCCACTGCCACTAGACTGCAGTGTGTCTGTTTACTCCTCATTTCCATCCTGTTAGTGACAGACTGCCCGAGGGGGCAAACGTATTCATAAATACTTTTCCACATGAGAGGCGAGGTGAGAAGAAATGTGCTGGGAAGCTTTAGTAAAACATCATTCTTGACAGATAAAACTTGTTTGGTTGATCTGAAAAGCTGTGTCTGCAGCAGCAGCAGCAAGGCTGAACCTGGTTAACCCAAACCTGCCAGCTGCCAGCTGATACAGTAAACCAGCAGGAATGCTCAGCGTTTAGCCACACAAGGAACCTTTACACAGCTCCACACCGGAGTGAGAATAAATGTAGGATTTCGATGGAGAACCTCTCTGCTGCTCCCAGGTTTGTCCTGTGACCACTGGGGCTAACAGTAAACCCCATAACACACAGTTCACAAGCTCCTCACTCTTTCCAATCAACAGAACTTAGTCTGTTTTGCTTGTGAATGTACTTTGGCTTGTTCTATTTTAAAACCCAGACCCTGGTTCAACCCCCTAACCCACCCCTCCCCAACATGTCATGATGAATGGGATGAATCAGGAAGCCTAGTTTACAGTTTAGCTGGAAACATGGAAACATTTCAGATGGCAACACATAAAAAGAATTCTGAATAAATATAGAAGCTATAAATTCATCAATTTTGAAGGTTTACAAGCTGACAGAAGCTGTAAGGGTCAATGTGCTGCCAGAGCAAGTCACCAGAAAGTTCTTCTCTATGCACCAAGCAATCTATGTGGTGCTACTTGCTGCTCCTCAAAGTTCTGCCAAAAACTCAAAAAGGAGGATAGTTTATTTCAAAGGTGAAAGATTGGACTCCAATCTTTCGCCATTGTGGTTTAAATTCTGTCCCTGACGGGGATATTGCTGTGCCTAATTATGGCAGCTGCAGTAGTCTGGTATTTATGAAGATATTTCCAAGGTCAAGGTATCTCCAAGTTTGTTTAGCAAAGGAGAATAAATGACTGCAAGAAAAAAAAAAGCATAGTGACGCTTTTGGACAGAGTTCACTGCTTTGGTTTCAAAATGAAAAGCTGTTGTAAATAAAAACTACAGTCAAAAAGATGCCTAAAAAGTGACACTCACAGTTGTGTTTATTTAACTCACTTTCAGTCAATGTCAGTTTTCCAACTGAAAACCTTGGAGTTGTAACATGTACAAGGACAAATGTGTCCGTGCGCTTGTTTATTAGGTGTTGTATTTTTTATTTATTTATTTTTTTGATCTACAATAGCATTTAAAAAGCTGCATTCGTCAAGGGTCTTGGTTAAAAAAATGGTTTGTATACTTTGCAGCACTTTTTTCCTCACTTTGACACAGGAAAAAAATCTATCACAATATTTGGATGTAGAAAAAGAGAAGCCCAAGTAAACTCAATTACATTTTCATTTCTAAAATCCTATTTCTGTTTGGGGTTTTCTATCAAGATTACAGATACCTTCCACTTTTTGTTGATTGTGATTCACCACATCGTGACTCACAGTTGACAATGCGCTCTGTATATATAGCTTGACTGACTTTCTCCATTGGCTGAGTCACGGTAATGTATTTAACGGCACACTTTAACTGAGTCATGTTTGTGGTGTGTTTGAAAATGCAATTACAATATTACAACTACATTTTCTAGAAGCTATATCACAGTGTTCACCAAAACCAAGTCACATTTCCCTGCTGCTTATAGACTTCAGATTTAATGCTCTTTGTTATACATTTTATATTCAGTACTTTTGAGTTTAATATATGCTTTCTACTTCTATTTGTGGTTTATTCTCATGTTATGGTCCTTTGTTTCTGAACAATAGCTGTCTTTAAGAATTTATTTCAAGATTCATGAAGTTTAATCTTATCTTAAAACAACAACACAACATATTAAAATGCTTTTCCTGCTAAAGACTAATTGTATTTACTTTATACACACATAGAAATGTATTATGTCATACAAAATTTATACAGAGGGTTTATTATAATTTCAAATCAGTAATCTTTTAACTGTATAACTATACAGTGATGTGTTTTCTTCCCTTCTCATTAACAACACACTTGTCTTTCTGACACTTTTGCTACAAACGCATGAAATATAATGTGTGTAATGTCGAGAAAATACTGTCACCACTACTTCCATTGACTTGCACTATAAATACGCAAATATAATAAACCGTGGTAACCTTATTTCCCCACATTAGTCAGTAATGGAGCATGGACACAGTGTTTCCCAGTGTGTAGTAGTGCGGAGTAGCATGACTTACTCTCTGCGGTGGCGGGCCGGAGGCAGGACGACAGACCCAGCATCAGACCCCAAAACAAGGTCAAGCGGCTCCTTTCCATTCGAGACCTCATTCCTGGAGAAGTAAATCCCCCTCAAATCCTGTAAATAAATATGTTGGGGGGAGGAAACGTGGGTAAAACCTGGTCAGAATTATTGAAACGCCTTTTAATCTCCAGCCAGCACCTTTTAGCTGTTAGCCGGCTAATGGAGCTAATAGCTACTACAAACAGGCTAGCAGGATAGCTCTCTCACGTTTCCTAATGGGAGTCCAACCGTGCTCCTAAATCACCGATTTATTCCCCCGGCCAGAAAATTTGTATTCATAGTTCTCTTTATTCGTGCCAAACACCACACCGCATTGAAGTGTATAATGAAAGCATTGCGGCTAAACTAGCGGCGGGGATTCCTCTGTAATCCACATCTTCACACTCCATATCTGGAGGAAAAAACGTTCAACGTCCCGCTGCTGGAGGATCCTCAGGAGGCAGAAAACGGGTCAAACCTCCCTCAAAATGGGGATGGAGACAGACGGTGCAGGGCCCACGATAACATATTACACCGACACACTGCCCCGTTATGTGAACGACACGACGTTTGTTTCGAAATATCCAGGATAAAATCTGGTTTCAGACCGCAGCCTCCTTCTTCTCCTCCTCCTCCTCAGCCGCTCATCATGCACACACACACCGCGTTGTTGTGGTAGCTGTAATTCACCTTCATACCCACGGAAAACGGAAAACTTGACCTTTCTGCTCCAGGTTAGGTCAAGTCCTTTGGTTATCTAATGCCCTCCGTCGATAGATGGCTGAAGGGGCAGCGTAGTTAGACAGATTAATGCACAGGTACATACACAGTCTCCTTCGGTCAGTCTGCAGTCTGCCGTGTTCGCTGTAAACACGGCGCCGTGCGCACAGATCGTCTCTACTTCTACAGATGAATCACTCGGACCTCTACTCCGCCTCCCAGTCTGTGAAAGAGGGCGTCGCTCTTACTGCAGTTTAGCCTCCATATGAGAGCAGTTACCATAGTGACCGCTCTAGTACTCACCACAAGAAGCTCAGATTTACCTTTATATGTGAAGAACATGTTTAACCGAGCAAACTATACCTACACCAGGACCCCACATCATCACTTTGGGGTTACTATTTACACAGAACAGTTTCACTACGCCACCACTCCTTCTACATTCACAGCAGACACGCAGTGGGTATTGCAAGCTGAATCAGCATTAACTCATGTGCAAAAAACACGCATCAAATTGTGGAAATTATTCGTTTGCGCTCCTGTTCTTAAATGTGTAAATACTCATCATAACAGATAGCAAAATGTGGACGGAGTGAGACCTCTGTTCTCCCCGCACCTCTCTGGGCACCGCCGTAGCGGCTCCTTTTACGACGCGGTGTGAAAGAAAGCCGGGATCCTGATCCAGGATCAGGGTTGTTTTGCTGCTCGCAAACACACGGCAGAGGGCCACCTATACAAAGATCGTGTCTGTCTGCACCAGGGCAGGGTGTAGTAGTGAGATGGACAGGGCAGCCAGGACCCCGTCATGAGGAGGACCCTCAAAAGCCTGAAATTAAAAGATGGACTTCACCTATGGTTTTGAATTTAACATCAATGTCTTTTTATTCAGTTAATATTTGTGTCTAAATAAACTAAATGGCTGAGAATTATCTGTGTCCAAAAACCCCAATCTGTAAGAGCTTCATATGGTTAAGTCAACCTCTGCAGTAACAGCCATCCATCCATCATCTATACACCACTTAATCCTCACTAGGGTCACGGGGGGCTGGAGTCTATCCCAGCTGACTTCGGGTGAAGGCAGGGGACACCCTGGACAGGTCACCAGTCTATCACAGGGCTACACTTAGAGACAGACAACCAAGCACACTCACATTCACACCTACGGACAATTTAGAATCACCAATTAACCTCAACATGTTTTTGGACTGTGTGGGAGGAAGCCGGAGAACCCGGAGAGAACCCACGCTGCACGGGGAGAACATGCAAACAAAAAAGAGTCTGTTTTACAATAACTAATGATATTGAGACTGAACCTAGGAACATTATACATCTTAGTAGTGCAGAACAAATAATTGATTTCAAACTGAAATTGCAATTAGTAGCAGTGCAATTTGCAAATCACAAAGGCTGCAATTTAGGATATAAATTATGCAGCATGCCTGAACGAGGGTTTATTTTTTATTATTACTGCTTTATTTAACTTGTTTGCAGAATGTGCAACATTTAGACGTGGCTCTTGAGCCATGCATGACTGACCTGTTTTAATTACAGAGATTATTTATAAGAAGGTCCTATTATTTTCTTTTATTTTTAGATTATTGCTTTATTTATTCAGCTTTACACAGTCACAGCTTTTGTGCCAATTGTTCTATTTCCTATGCCATTTAAACTAATAAATAAATCTTTGAAGCTGTTTATATCTTTAAGTACCCATCCTTCCATCAGAATATGAGCAGTTAATCATTTTATACTGTCTTATATGGTAATTGATCCACCTAATGTTTTAAATTGATCACACAATGATTATTGAACTGAAGCTTTAAAAAATATATATATATCACAAATCAAAATTAGATGTTTTCCCAAGTTGTTCATCCTTCTGAGCTTACTGATAAAGTCAGAAGCATATCTGTCCCTGCATTCTCCCATGTTACTGAGGATGTAAGAGAAACAAGCTCATAAAGTGCTCACTAAAAATGTATCACGCTACCTTTATAATACATTTACACCTGAAAGAAGATTTGCATTTCAAGTCAAGCGTAAACACGGGTACCTAGCACAGTATTTAGCTGCTCCTGTGGTCTTTACTTGTCATTCATTATGAATTACAGTAATGCTTCCTCAGCTCAAATGCCCAAAAATGCATCTTTTTTTTTCTCCCACTTTCTCATTTAAATAATAAAGACCTTTAAAAAAAGCTGTAAAGGAAATGATGTGCCACAATAATATTTCTCCAGGACAATCTCCTTGTTAAAGAAACAGATTTCTGTTGACTAATACTTGCATTGCAGTTGTGATATGGGTAGTGTTGTATGTGGTATTAATTACAGATTGCTATCTGTTATTTTCTCAGCACAAGACAGATATAGTACTGTATAAGTGGAACTGGGGTTGACTGCAACTGCATTTGCACAGACCCCAGTGAATCTATGTAATCGACAGATCATCATTCATTTATGTTTAAATGTCACTTGCCATTGCCTGTATGTAAAATAATATGTGCCCATAGTTGTTTCTACATTATTATATTAAACTTGTCTATTTCTTTGTTTTTTAATGCACTGTAATATAATTTATATTTTAACATGACAATTAAACACTTTAAATTACATTGTTCTTACATCCCTTACCTTGTAATATATCATAAATATCAAATCACATCTGTTTACTCAAATAAAACTGGTTTAAAGATATGGACTGTGTGGATTTTAACACAGCAAACAGTGAACACTTTAACCCTAAAATACTTCACATGTACTTCACAAGACTGTAAATACAGTGTGTGGTGACGGTTTGTGCAGCTTGGCAGCAGCTCCTGCAACAGAACTGGCCTCTGAGTTTCTCTGAAAAGGCACCAAAATGCTGCCATCTTGAGGGGAGGAGAACTAACTGCAGACTTTGAAGAAACAGTACAGTAACATTAAAGGGTGAAGGGTGACATTTAGACTGTTCTGTTGAAGAAATCAATATAAATGTGTTCCTCTGAAGGACACGTGTCGCCGTCTGCATGTCCCAGTGGATGCAGATCCCTCTTACCCTTCTATTGTTAATGCTTTACCCAACCTCTAGGGCGTAACAGGGATTTTAGTCACTCATCTTGACCTTGCATGACACATTGATCTCTAAAAAAAAACTTTGAAGAAAAACAGTTTTCCTGTAGCTTTCTGACCTAAATGTATACAGATGTTGAACAGTTCAAGCAGTGCTCCCAGTATGTGGGGATTTGAAACAACTCATCCCATTAAATTGACTTTTACTTTGAGACTCAGACAGGTACAACTGCCGTGATCTTTTGAGGTCCGAGGCCAAGGCCGAGGAAGTGGAGGGCCGGCGGCTTGTGATGCTGTGAGAGAGGCAGACAGTAAACAAAACCGTCCATAGAAGAGCCCCTGACAGTTTTGATTATCCCTGTAATTATAGGCCGCTTTCATCACTTCAGAGAGCAGAGCACAGAGGCATTATTTGAACGCCACACATTACCTCAGCTCTGGCAGACAGCACCCGGCATCCGTCACAATCCAACAATTAGCACTGAGAGGAAAAAAAAAATGCACATTAAAAATGAAGTGAATATCAGTGGCCACCCAAGAGTCCAAATACAGTGAGTCACCCTCTAACAAGTGCTCACTGTACCAACATGACCCCCCCTGTGCCAGAGAATGTTGTGCCTGTCCACTTGCATTTGTTAAGTCCCTATTAAAGTCCCCATGAAGGCAGCTGGCGGGCCCACCTACCTCGACTGTCCCGGTGGAATCCATTCTCGCACTGCACTCATGTGGAAATAAGCCTGTTTACCACCAACGGGTCACACATGCTAATGAGAGTCTGTTTGTTTTCCACTGTGCTCATGCAGGAGGAAGGGAATTTAGAGGGGAAATAATAGATGATATGCAGACAACAGCCCGGGTGGCTTTGCAGCACTAATGATGAAAAACGTACAACAGAGAATAAATGGAAATGAAATCAGAGCAGGAAATGTGCCCTGACATTTTTATGTTGCTGAGGCTGATCACACAGAGGTACACAATGTCGTCTGGCCCCGTTTGAAAGTAGTGGTGTAGCTGTAGGTCAGGCATCTTGGACCCCCCGTACAGTATCTGATGAACACCCAACTGACAGGTACGGTTTGATACTGTGCACATTGATTTGCTTGTCTACACGATAACTTGCAGTAATTAATCATTGGATTTTTACTGGAGGTAAATACTGTCAATACTCAAGCATCCACACATATACACTCTGGGTACCACATATACAGCATACACACATACTATGTACAACCGAAAAAATACTGTAAATGGAAAAAAATTCAATTATTAACAACTTACATGTCTCCAGTTATTGAACAAGTTTCCCAAAGTGAAATTTAAAATCAGACTACCTCCCTTAAGGTATTCAACCCTTAGCAGCTGTGGAGCTACCCAGGTGTGAATATTTTTGAAAAAGAGCATCTGTACAAGAGCTTGACTGATATATATTGCTAGAGTTACTGGTTGATATTGGTCTATCAGAGATATATCAGTGTCTGCATATATGTTACAGTGATTTAAAAAAAAACAACAACAACAACAAAAACTTTTCTTTTAGAAAAATATACTTCGGGTAAATTAAAAATGTTTGTCCTCATCATAATCACAGAGTTTATCCAGCAGTGTGTGTTCTGACTCCATTGCTTACAATCCTCTCAGCACCATCTGCAGCACATGTAGCAGAGTGAGCATCCTCACAGCTGAGCAGACGGTGGTGCTGAGTCAAGTGATGTCTTCACAGTAAGCTGCTAACTGATTAATAAAATTAAAGAAACCCCATCATATCAGTCAAATTTTTGGAATTTGTTCAGCCTAAAAATGAGTACTGGAACTGACCCAAAAATCAAGTATTAGTCTAACATTAATACGTACAATGTGAGACTGTATTTGGCCACAGTGGTGCCTTGAGCTAAATGCCAACATGGTCACAATGACATTGTTAGCATGCTGATGTTTAGCCAACACTATTAGAGCCTCTTCCAAGACTTGGCTGGGGTTTAGGGAGCTGCAGTCAATGGGAATGCAGCTACTACAAGGCTCCCTCCACAGATCCTGCATTCAGTGTGAGCAAGTGTGTAAGAACGGTTCTTGA